AAACTGTGCAGGGTGTGGCCAACGGTGTTGATACTATCGTTCCGCGAGCCGCTTGGAGTGGTGGCGGGGATATGTCCTTTTAACTTTCTGCTATGATACTATGTGGATGTTCCCTTTGGCGGTTACCGCTGGAAACACGTAGTACAGTTGCAATATGTGTTGGCTTTCCTCAGCTGAGTTCAGGAGTTTACATACAAATTTGGGTAGAAGTGTAAAGAAACTGCTAAAAAATTGCTAAAATTTTCTGAGGATTTTCATATTATCACCAACACACGTAGTTGACTGAGATTAGATGGCTATATGGTCTCTCGTAGTGTATGCAGTTGTTGCTCGCGCGGGTTTAGGTTCATTCTGAAGCCCAGTCCTCGTGTGCCATTGACTTCAGTTCGCCTCATGGAGCTGCTCATGGATACAGGTGGTGACCTACAGCTCCTCGTGAAACGGTCTTACCACACCATTTTGATTAATCGCTAATGCGTCTCACCTGGGTAGAGCTCATCTTCTGAGAAACGAGTATAGTCTGCTGATTCGGATATCGATCTGAAGTTGGCAGGTATTCCTGATGGAGTTGTGAACATGGTCCATGGAGGGGCGGAATCGGTAGAGTGGATCTGCAAACATCCGAGTATCAAGGCGATCAGCTTTGTGGGGGGCAACACTGCAGGTATGCACTGTTCATCAGCAGTGACCTTGGACTTATTGTTTAGGTGAATTTATATTCCGAACTGGTGCTGCTCATGGTAAGAGGGTTCAGGCTAATATGGGGGCTAAGAATCACTGTGTGATCATGCCCGATGCTGACAAGGAGGATGTGAGTGCTTTGTGATTGATTTCAATGGAGTAGTGAATTCGCATTGTTATGGTATGAGTCGGTCATCGTGCTGTTCGCTTGCATCAGCCGGGTTCAGGAGTTCCCCACTAATTATAGGAGCTCATAAATGTTAATGGAATTTCCTCAGAATTTTGATATTCCCATGTGCGCATATCTTCCTAAACTGCCGTGATATCGTGTAGGCGCTGAACATGGTAGCCAACGCAGCGTTCGGTGCAGCTGGGCAACGCTGTATGGCGCTGTCGGTACCGGTATTCGTGGGGAAGGCGAGAGAATGGTTACCTGATTTGGTGGAGAGAGCTAAGAAGTTCAAAGTTGGACATGTGAGAAAACTGGGGGTGTTGTTGTGGTTGTTGGGCTCAGTGTGAATTGTGGTTCGACTAAATAGTGGTTTAGTGTAGATATCATTGTGAATATAGTAAATTACTATTAGTAATACTACTAGTAACTACTATTACTATTAGTAATATTAGAATTTGTAATTTTGGAGGCTCTCTATTATTTGCCTTTTGCCGCGACAGTGATGATAAGAGGATTCATGTCAAGGTATATTCTCGACCATTCACACACCGACTTTCGCCGTTACTCTTTACACTGTAGTTTATGTAATTGGACATAGGTGGATAGCCGATGGCTCATCAACTTAGTTTTTGTTGGTCTAGTGAGCGTCTCGTGGAACTTTGCAATCGTTTGTATATCTCTTTCTTACGTGCTTATTAGTTTGGTATAGGGTCTGGATGCTAGTGCTGATTTCGGTCCACTGGTATCGAAGGAGGCAACCTCAAAGGTGGAGGGCATCATAGCTGGGTGTACGGCTGAGGGGGCGAGGTTGTTGTTGGACGGACGACATCCTCAGGTGAGAGTATTGGAAAATAGGATTTGATTTCTGACTGGGAATTTACACACGAAAAAACGTCAAAATTTCGTCGTTGTTATCATCTCATGTAGCCGCCCATGTGGACATATTCCCACATAGGTTGGAAACCCCATCGTGAACAGCCCTGAATCATCCCAGGCTGTACGACTCGTGAAGTGTTCTCCTTGGTTTGCGTTTGATGCTTGATCGTCTCTATTTTTTCCTAGAAACCGCTAGTCACGGAACCGTTAGAGTGTTAGGCCGGTTTACGTCAAATGGGTGAAACTCCATTATATACAATTTATTATTGTGGTTTATCGATATTTTTCTAGAGCGATAGCGGTGATCGATGAATGCGAGAAAATTGCATGTATGATTTCCCCCTCTCACTGTAGGTGGAGGGGTATCCCAACGGTAACTTTGTGGGCCCTACAGTGATCGCTGGGTGTAAGCCTGGCATGACATCCTACGACCACGAAGTGTTTGGGCCAGTGGCTACCTGTGCTGAGGTTGATACACTACAGGAAGCCATTGATCTTATTAATGCTAATCAGTATGACATATGCGTGCTCGAAGGGCTCGTTCGATGCTGTGGTAGGTTTGGCAATGGCGTTGCTATTTTCACTCAAAATGGGGCTGTGGCACGTAAATTCCAGACGGAAATCAACGTTGGACAGGTAAGAGAAGAGCGCCAATTTAAACCCGAGGAATCGATCGATAACACGTCCAGCTTGGTGCTCCTGTGTTGTTTGTTTGTTAGGTTGGTATTAATCTGCCGATTCCTGTTCCGTTGCCGATGTTTTCCTTCACTGGCTGGAATAGGTCTGCTTGGGCTAGTCTGAACTTCTATGGGAAGGCTGGGGTGAGTTGTATATGAAATATTAGGGGAGTTTTAATATTAGAAATAATATATAAGTATAGAAATTAATAGGGCAAGAATAATATGGAGTTTCACCCGTGATAGGAAACAGTTGACTTCGCAAAAACTGTGTTGTCGGTCATGAGGACAGGTTATCAAGGAGTAGAGATTGTCCAAAACTGGCATAGACTTCTCGGCACTGAGGGTAAAAATGACCAAAAAATTTTTTGCGCGATTTGGATTTATGGGTAATCAAGCATGGGGAGCTCAACGGTGAAAGAATTAGGTCGAAAATCGTCAAAATGAAAGAAAAAAGTGCCCGCCCAGTTCGCGCGTTTCTAGATGGCGCGTACTGTACACGTTTTGAATTTACATGGAGTATTTGGCCACCTTACGTTGAACGGATGAAACTCCAAGATATACTCGATATTCGAATGAAATATAATGGAGTTCCACCGCCCGTTTTACGTGAAGTGGCGTAAAACTCGGTGAAAAACGCGATATTCGCGGCCTGTAGTAGTCGTGAAACGCGTTTTTCACAAGTATTTTTCATGTCCAATGTTAAAGGGGAAATTATGTCGTGTATTTGCATCGAATGATGAGTATAAGGCGGTTGGGAGCGCACACGTGTGCTGCTGTCGAGGTTCAATTTTACACAAGGATTAAGACGATCACTTCGAGATGGAAGGAGCCGGCTGGGGATGTTACGAAGCTGAGTGGAGCCTTCCCAACTCTTAGTTGATATATGTATTTTTGGGTCGATTTTTTATTTGCTATTGTGGATTCTTCCGGGTGGGAGTACTTTTTTAAACTATCATGAGTTTTATGTTTCGAAGGTCTGTAGGGTTGGGCTTACTTAATAGTTTCTACGTGGTTTTACTGACCGAGATAGGTTGTTTGTTATGCTCTCGCAAGTGGAGGAGTGGAAGCTGAACGATGACTGGTCTGAGGACGAAGATGACGATGGAGTTTCGGTGGAGTCGGACACTAGCAGTAGTGATGGGGAGGTGATTGACGAGGAAGGAAGGGAGGAGCAGCAACAGGAGGAGGAGGGGGAGCAGGACAGAGGGTAAGTGTCAACTAGTTGGGGCTAACATGCGGGGATATGCACATGGTCAAATACGGTTGTTGGTGATAATAAGAATTTTGAAGAAATTGTTGTTGGTTTTCGCAGACTCCTACCCAGCTTTGTACAGTTAGTGAGAAACTCCTGAGCTCAGCTGAGGAAACCGAACGTATATTTTTCAACACTGAGTATCTGTGAGTTGATATTTCGAGGGTGAAGTGAATTGGTGAATGAAAACTTGAGCGGTTGAGCGTCGTGTAGTTTGGGTATCCCTAGACAAGTCCATCTACTTCCTAGCGTTGATATGTGTGATTCTCACATGAGTTTATATATCTATTTATATTATAACATATCCCCATATATGGATATGATCATGTCATCTTTATCGTTATTATAAATATTACTTTGTTAATTTATCACTAAAACACGAGTGCCGACGTCCTCGAGAAGGGCTTCCTAGTAGTATATGATGGTCTTCATAACTCATTCGTTATAGTAGGGCCCTTTCTGAGTTGTAGAAATTGTAGACGAGCCAGTGTGATGGTGGTAGTTCAGGTACGTCACTGGTGAGCCGGAGGAGAAGGCTGAGGAGGATGAGGAAGACGACTATGTAGACCCCGACTTGGCAGATTATGGTGCTGATGATGACGATGATGAGGATGACGAAGACTTTGCATATTTCGATGAGGATGATGACGATGATGATGACAGTAACATGAGGAAGCTGAGGCAAATGGCTGGTGTTGATGGCAAGGTGAGGTCTGTAGTTTGCTGAGTTGGGTTTAGTGTAGCTGCCAGGTTCGCTTCCCTGAGGGGGAGTGCACGGCGTTGCCAGTTTTCCGAGTGGGGGAAAAAGTAATAGTCACTTCACCGTAGGTGGAGTGTTATGATATTTGTGCCTATAGGTGTGTAAACGGGTGAGGCGGAATAGAGTTGCTTGTATCGAGGGCGATACTGGGTCTGGCAAGACTACGATAATACCGTTGCTTCTGCTGGCTGAGGATGACCAGGACGTGGGCCCGAACAGAGGAGCAGAAGCTGGTAGGGTCTTGTTTGATTAGGAGGAAAGTGTCGTAGACTGAATTTACATCTAGTAGAATGATAATAGGTTTCTAATCGGCAGTTTGCGGGTGAGGTCCAGGAGCTTGCGAGTTTCATCTCTATAGTAGCGCATTGGGGGTGGAGTCATTGGCGTCACTGTAGGGTCGGTCGAGATTGGTGATGAACGATGGCTACGAAAATCTATGATGTTTTTGGGTTTACATAGGCCAACGTGTCTACGCTATAGGATTTCCGTATCGTACCTTACGGCCTTTTCTCTCACCGTAAACCGGTGATGGCGGCTTGCTCAACTATAGCTAGGATCGTTATCATCTATAAAGACGTCGTGTGCTGTAATATAGTATCGCAATAGTGTATTAACTTATTATGACGGGGGGAAGCAGGACTACTGATCCCATCGAAGGGATAACACTCTCTTTCCTCCACTGGAGAGGAGTGCTGAATCCATCACTGCTCGCTGCTCCGCCCCGATGAACGTATAAAGATATCATCAATTTGGTATGGTCGTTATGTATGTAGTTAAATTGTGTCGATTTTTAGGGAGAAGGTTTGCTAAGATAGTGTGCACTCAGCCACGGAGGATCGCGGCAATCCAAGTGGCTCGCAGGTTGCAGGGAAGGGATGATGAGTATTACATCGGAGTGTTGGTGTGTGCTCAGAGTTGCCGGCTTCTGCAACCCGAATACCTTGGGACAAGTGACTGGTTATCGTGTATCGGGCCATAGCAACGTGTCGGAAGATACGCAGATCGAGTAAGTCGACAGATGCAACACGCATGTGGTTACGGAAATGTAGGTACGTCACGACAGGTTACCTGTTGCAAGTGCTGATACACAGACCCGACGATGTTCATCTCTTCACCCACATTGTTCTTGATGAAGTAGGGGGATGAGTGCTGTTCTGTGGTATTTAGTATATTAATATTTATATGCCAATATTGAAATTTAATTTCGCGCACGCCCAACAACTGCGTGCATGTTGGCACAAACTAGTCGTGCCTCCGTTTCACGCTTTGTTGATTGGTTCTCAACCTGTACATTTTTGGCTACGTTGGAAGATTCTCCTTGTGCTATTCCCCATCACCCGTCTCACGTGAAGTGGCGTAATACTCTGTGGAAAACAGGATATTGGTGATATGCAGTAGTCGTGAAATATGTTTTCATATCAGTAGGGTGAAACTCCATTATTTTTAGAATTTAGTAATATCCACTTGATATTTATAAAATGTTATGCTTATATTGAAGTTTCACCCGTTTTACGCGAAATGGCGTAATACTCTACGTGAAAAAAGGAGGCGGTATTGGGCGGGCAGGTGTTTTTCCTACGCGAAGTGAAATGTGTTTCTTATTAGTGTTCTTCATATCACTGAAGTGAGGTGGTCAGGTCCACGAACGAACTTTGGATTCGGACTTCCTGAGTTTGATATGCAAGCGACTGTTGTTGAGGCCGGAAAACGGTGACACCAAATTGGTTATTATGAGTGCCACTTTGAACTCGGATCTGTTTTCACGGTATGGTATCGCTCGTGTCGCGATAGTAAGGAAAGTTATGTCAGGTACTTTGCTGATTTGAATAACAACTCGCCGCCCAAAGCGATCACAATTCAAGGCCAGAGGTTTCCTGTTGACGACATGTATCTAGATGATATGCTACAGGACGGAGAATTGGGGGACGAGGCGAAGAAGGCTAAGGAAGAGTTTGAGAAACTAAAGGAAAAGATGTGCGATTTCGACGTGGTCGTTTTTATCGTTGCTGACTTGGTGATAGGAGGAGTTTCACCTGTGATGTGAAAAACACTACTTCATATTTCACTTTGCGAAAAACGCAGTGAAACAGTGAATAACGCGTAAAACACGTGATGTGTTTCACGTGATATGGTATGACTTCTCCAGTGTACTTATCCATATACTATAGATGTTGCGATATACTATTGCGAATATCGCGTTTCTTACCTGGCATGTTACGCCACTTCACGTAAAATGGGTGAAACTCCGGGGATATTAGGATCCTTGGAAATCTTCTGAATTGTCACTGGTGGATGTTTTCAGTCAGAGTGGCCGAGATGATTATGGATTTGCTACCGGAGGAGGGGAAATGCCGCCATGGGAGGATGATATCAACAGGAGAGCGGAGCTGTGAGTGTCGAGAAAGGGCAGCATCGTGTGGCAACAACGGTGTTGGAATATATATTCGCTACCCTCAGCTGAGCTTGTTACCGGGGTTTGTATATGGAGTGGGATAGATGTACAGAAACCAATGAGAATTTTCCTGAAATTTCCTCAAAGATTTCATGTCGACCATGTGCATATTTTCGGAGATATACTTAACTGTTTTTTTTGCATTTCTCGAGATTTGTTGTTATATGGATGCTCAGATATAAGCCCACTCAAGACTTGCTGGTCCATATGCTGTTGACGAGGGCGAAGCGTGGGAGTACGACACTGGTTTTTGTGCCGGGTAAAGGGGAAATAGATTCTGTTATGGAGGATCTGGAGAGAGCTTGCAAGGTTGGATGTCGCGCGCCCCGAAATTAGTGATAATAATTCTACGCTTAGGGTGCCAGTCCAGAATCTCAGAATACGTTTGTGAACTATGACGAGACGTTGGAGTCTTTGAGGCTGCCGTTTGGGACGGTGTATATACGGTAGGCGCCTTGCACCGTTCATGTTGACTTATTTTCCGTAGAGTATTCCCCTTACACTCGAAGTTGACTAAGGATGAGCAGGATAGAGCGACACAGCAGCCGATGCATGACGAACGCAAAATCGTGAGCATAGCCTTCTCTTGGGGTTGTACTGTTCTAACGCATGTAAAGTCTTGGACTTTCGTTTCACTCAGGTGCTGGCCACGAATATTGCCGAGTCGAGTCTGACAGTATTGAATGTCGACTTGGTCATTGATACGGGCTTAAGGCGAGAGAATGTGTAGGGGTGTAGAGCGTGCTGGTGTGGTTTGACGGTTTTTCAATCAGTTTTGACCACGAAAGGCAGGTGTATAAGTTGACCCACACCTGGTGTTCGAAGGCCAGTGTCAGACAGAGGTAAGGAAGTGGGTAACTGCTCGGCTGTTAATGTGCGCGAGCCTTCAGGGCTGGTCGTACGGGGCGGGTGTGTGCGGGGACGGCAGTACGGTTGTTCACGAAGGAGTTCCATGACCAGTACATGGATGAGTATGACAGGCCTGAGATCCTATTCACGGACTTAACTACGTTGTTCCTGCAAGCAAAGTAATAGAGGCTCTCCCAGGGTGGGGAAATACTGTGCTTGCGTTTTTCTCATGGAAATGCATTGAAATTCGATTTCTCGGGTAATACGGCGAATATTCATATAATCTCTCAGCACGATGAATGTATCCATATAAGAAGTATACGCTAGGAATTCGGTTGGCTATGCTCAACTACATGTGTTGGTGACGATACGGGATGTTTGACGAAATTCGGGGGAAATCTTGTAGGTTTTTGGAAAATTCTACCTGCATTAGTGTATAGTGAGTGAGCTCAGCTGAGGAAAGCGAGCATATATCCCGACGCTGGGCTCTCCACAGGCATTTTGATTGGGTTGAATTGTAGGTACGTGACTGAGTTTTGTAAGGAGGCGGCTCTACCATCGTATCTCTTCGATGCAAAGCACCAGCAGTTGCTGAGTGCGCAGGAGAAGAATAAGACTGCGGCGGGGTCGTGTAAACCGTCGGAGTTGCTGCAGGCATTGATAACGCCACCGAGGCAGGAGAACGTTAGGGTAAGGCTGAGTTGAAGGAATTACGGTAGGGCAGGTGGTGGTGGTGACAGGCCGCTGTGGTGGACTTATTCCATGCCGGCATTCTACTTGAGAGGCCCGATGAGCTGAGTCCGTTGAGTCTGTTGGGAACTCTGGCGACGAGGTGAATAGTGTGGGAATTTTGGAAGGATGACGAGTGGATTTTTCAGACTACATATTGATGCACATGTGACGCGTATTGTCTACTACTCGTGGCTCATGGGCATCCCGGGCGAGGGGATACTTTTGGCGGCGGCTTCGGTGCAGGATGGCGATGTGTTTCGCTTCGCCACTCGGTGAGAGGTCCCGGGTTCGATCCCCGGTAAGGGCGTTTAATGCAGGTATCAGCCTGGGTATGAGGACCGCTATAGAGGCGACATGGAGAGCTCTTTTTGGTGGCGTATTCTCTTCGATGAGGGTGCCTTTAGCGAGCCTATAATGTTAAGGCGGCTTCTCGTGAAGTACATCGAGGTAAGCTGCCGGCTGCAGCTGAGAAACAGTCGCACTGCGTATTAGGTGGGAATAGCGGCGGGCCAAGAAGCAGGGTGTGGCGGGTCTACGGCTGAGAGGATATTCCATAACAAGTTGAGAGACGAGTCGTGGTATCCGGCGGCTGTGAATCTCCAGGCCTTCAACAGCCTTGTCAATTCGGCAAGCAAAATCTGCCATGTAAGATCAACCTCTATTATCACGGGTGGCCGACTTTGTCCAAACCGGGCAGAGGGAACCAAAATGACCACACGATAGAGAATTTTCGGTGTATTCAGAATCTGGAATTATTTCTGTTTTATCACTGAGTGTGATAGACCAGAAATCGATTACGCGTTCAGTGTATGTTTTTCTCAGGATTTCTGCAGTTGGTTGAGCGATGACATAGGGGATAAGACTACTCTTGTTATGCTCGAGAAGCTCGATGGGCATTTACGGGGAAATCTGGCCGTACTCGATATGGGCGTATTCCAACGTGAGTCAACTTGCAACAGCACATTTTATATTCAACTTTGGTGTTGCAGAAATGTTGGCTCGAGAGGTCGATGAGGCGAAGAGTCTATTGTGCATGGGTTGCAATAATAGGGTCATCACGGGAGAGTACTCCCAGCGATTGGTGATACTGGGTGTGATAATACATAGCTCGACGGTCTGTGTAGTAGTAGAGTAGGCTAGTGTGCGCGTAACAATACGACCAAATGATCAACTACACATGTTAGTGGCAATATGGAAATTTTAATGAATTTTTTTGAGATCGTGTGTAAAATTTAACAGTGAGTTAACTCCTGAGCTCAGCTGTCGACGATGACGATATCACTTGTCATTATCTGTTTAGGACCCCAAAATCGAGGAGTGTGGAGATTTGGTGAAGTTCGAGAGGCTACCACAACAGCTGGTGATGAGACAAGAAGACGCCTACGCGACGTCTCGGCATGTAAGCTTCTGCATATCCCTCATAGCGCCTTGAATGTGATTCCTTTTCAGAACACCCCGATGCACCAATTGGTATTGAAGTTGACGGGCAAGGCGCCTGCTGGGGGAAATGCTGATTATGACGGCAATGAACACAGCTTTGAGTTCCAGCCTGGAGAGGACAATCGTTCGGTGGACAAGAACATTATGATGCGGGACTCGGAATTCCAGTTCATCGCTCCTGTGTCGGTGCGGCTACTGCAGGCCTTCTATGATGGTCGATACCAGTGCACGGTGAAGCCTGACAGAGCGACTTGGTCGGACTGGGTGAAGCTGAAACGGCCGCTCATACCCAACGTGATTCGGTGGCGGAAATACTACTCGGACACGCCGGACATGATATCGGCCTCGAGGGTTAACTCCCAGTTCCACGTGCAAGTGTCACCGAGGAACCCTCCGGGGTGGCTGGGCAGCAAACCCAGCATGTCGTCACCTGCATCGGGGTCGGGACCGGTTGACCGCAGACCGACGGACGTGGTCGAGGGTCCTGAGCTCTATTGGGGTATAGTGGGGAAGATTCAAGCGTCGTCGAGTCATGGGGACAACAGGAGGATCAACGACGCTCGAGCTGATGGAGTCACAGTCCTACCCTGTCGGTGTCGGAATAGAGTGGCGATGGTGATGCTAATGGCCTTCTTGCCGTTCCGTCACGGCTTGGCTGCTAAGGTGAGGGGCATCTCGGTAAGTGTGTCGTAATGGGGTCGTTGTTAATGCTAGGTTGACGGTGCTTGGAGGATAACCCACCTCCGCCTGGCTGGGGATGCGTGGCGTGTTGTGCATCCGATGGGGCCCATCACAGGGGAGATGCTGGCGAGAGTGGCCAAAGTCCGGGACCTTATGGCAGCTGTAGGGAGTTTTTGCCTTTCCATTGGAATTGTCGTTTCAGTCGGTATTACTGCGTGGCCGTGACTCGACGAAGCGGCGAGCTGACACGTCGGTCGTTGTGAAGTCTGTGGTGGACGAGGAGGACCTCGAGGCTGAGAATGTCGAGCTCTTGCAAGAGGCAAGTGCAGTTTCTTATTCTGGAATAATATATGTTGCTAACTGTCAGGTTAGGGCTGTGCAGAATCAGCTCAGAGATGCAGTACGGGATATGATAAGCTTGGCATCGTCACCAACTCCGCCGAGGCCTCGGGTGACTGGTCGTGAGAAAGAGCTGTGGCTGGTGGATCCATCCCCCGCGAACATCGCTCGCCGTATGGAGCCCAACTTGAAGAAGTGCCGACTGCTTGTCCAGGCGCTACCAACCGGGGAAGGTGTTGTTGCTGATGCCGGCACGTCTCTTATGGACTTCTCGGATCTCACCGATATAGCGCCGGCACCGTCGAACCCTTGGAAGATTGACGACCCAGCTGATGTTGTTGTTGATACTCCTGCTATCGCCGCTGGAACAGCTACTACTACGTCTACCGCTCGTGACGAGATTGCTGCGACCGAGGTTACTCTTGCCAAGGAGGAGGTTACGGCGACACCAGCAGACGATGATGAACAGCGTGTATCGAGCGAAGCGGTGGCAGCTATTGAATCTACGACTATGCAGGCTTCTATTTCGGCTGAGGCAGTAGAGGCTCTTTCGACGTCCCAAGTGGCTGATTTGCCTGCCGCTGCCACGCCTAGCCCGGAAGACACTGCGTCTGTCGCTACCGTTGCTGAGGAGGCCTCTGTTGATGTTGTCGGAGCAGATGAGGTTGCAGTTGATACGCCCACTCACCCGGTGGAAGAAATTGAGCTACCTCCTTCTCCTCGTATAGAGGAGAAGCCAGAAGTTGCCGTCCCACAGAAGAAAGAGCATCCGGGTGCCGATCCAGTGGGACAGCCGCAGGTCGAAAAACTATCACCTCGGGAAAAGCCAACGTTGGACCCCTCAGATGCATCTGCAGTATCTCTCGTGGCGAGGACAAGGAACGAATCAGTTGCGGATTCCGAATTCGAGTCCTGCATTTCTGAAACAGAGATCAAGGAGACTCAGGCGCTTCTCGGTGGTGTGGGAGTCCCTCCGTCCTCCCGAGCCATCCAGCCTGTCGCCTCCCCCTCACCACCGTCGCCGCGACCCCCGGTGGTGAGGGAGAGTTCTCCACCGGCACGAGAAGCTCCTCGGAGGAGGACGCCGCCTGGTGCTCCACCTGGCAGGCTGATCGCTGCAGTAGCAGCATCACCGTCAAGGCCACAGGTTGCCCCTGCTCGGTTGGATCTGGAACAGATCGTGCGTACGCAGCTGGGTGGTAGCTCTGGTGCAGCGTATCGGCAAGGCCTGGCACGGCTTGACACTCTGGGGTGGAAGAGTTCAGAACAAATGGACCATATGAATTCACAGTGGGACATTTCGAAGTCTCACGTTCCGAAGGCGGGGGCAAATGGAGTTTTGAAGCGAATTAAAGTACTCCCTATAAAGGGTCAGGACGAGCGAATCTTGATGGCCCCTCGAGTCGATGCGGCGTTGAGGATTTCGTCGTCTTCGAGGGGCGAACAGCCACCAGTGGGGCCACTGAGTGGATCGAGACGGGAACCTCCTGGGAGGCCGGCGTACTTGGTGTCGAAGTCTCAGGGCAGTTCGAATACGCCTGTGGAGACTTCTAGAGAGGCGACGATGGCTGGTCGGACTTGTCCCCGGATGAGCGACGAGATGGTGCAGCAACTATTCAGAAATGTAGCACTATGTGATGTCTATTGATTTGTATGGTATGTCGTGATCCACTTCTCTAAGGAGTGTATGTTCATCTTGAGCAAATTCGGAGTTTAGCATTTCACGTTAGCAAGTAGTGTCAGTAAGTGACTACTGCGCAGATCTGTTCTAGTGCTTCGGCAGTCGATGCTTTTGTTGCCTCAGGCTGACTTGGCGGTGACGAAATACGAGGCGACCAGGGAGGCGATACTGGCAGAGCGAGACCTGGAGCTTGATCGGATCATCTCCTCCTCGGCCAGGAATATACGGAGCTTAGTTGACGAGAATGGCTTCCTCTACTAACGGTTCGAGCACCTCTTGCGGAAAATCGCTATCACGTATTCTCTCACTTGAAAGTGATGATGAGGACGTTGTGACCGGTCATCACTATTACTCGAGTGATCGTTCGTTTCCTTCCGATTACATTATCTGAGATTCTCTAGCGAATTAAGCGTTGTGTTATGAAGTTGCGGATCACCGAACGAACAGAACCGTTAGTGTGAATCTTTCTGATTGTGTCGGTAACGTTTTCAAATAAGACTTCAGTGATACTGGAGTTGTCACGCTGGCTTGAGATCCCCGGTTCGAATCCCACTAGAGACAGTTCTTCGTCATTTTTTGTGCACAGCGATCTTACTAGCTTGTCACTTCCCAACGACACATTCTAGTTTATTTTTCCATACACATTTATTATTCCAACAGTATGGCAATTTATGATTACGAACTTTACCAGCAATTCAACGGCCAGCCTTCCTCTTCCTCATCGTCGTCGTCGCAACTGTCGAATGAATCTGTTGACTCCTTCCAAGACGACGATGTTCTCCTCAAGCTGTGGTCTACTATTCACCGCTTAGAAGAGGAGTTGAAGCATGAGAAGGAGTGCTCGGAGAAGTTGACCGAGCAGGTTAGGTCACTCTCAGACAATCTCCAACTGTCGGCATCTCTGGTTGAAAAGCAGCTGCAGCTTCCGTGTGTAAAAACTCCCTCGGTTAAGGACTTTGACATCAACGATGAGATTGATACCAATGGTATGCGCCCTGAAGATGAGAAGGCCGCACTGGACGCCCTGGCAAGCCTTGCCGATGTCGACAAGCCCTTCCCCACTCACGGTGTGCCTCTGTGGCATGTACTTCGCGCCCTTAGTGGTGTTGAAGAAGATCGCGTCTTCACCGTGAGAAGGATCCAGAAGCTCGGGTTTGACTCTGCTGTTAAGCTGAGAGAGTACTTCTCAATGTGGGGAGAAGTTTCTAATCTATTTATACTGCATCGTCAGGCTAAGGCATCATCAGTTTCTGACGGTGACGGCAGCAGCAACAACTCTGCCGTTCGTGTTCGTCCACCCAGTGTTGGTTTCGTTGTGATGGAAGACCCCTTGGTTGTGAGGAGAATACTAGCCCAGCCCAAGCATGTTATTTATGGTCACACATGCGATGTTCAAGAGTTTGAACACAAGCATAAGCTTTTGTTGCCTCCTCCAGGTCTCGGTGGTGAACCTACGACGGTCCTTACCGCACCTACTGGTCACTCTAAGAAGGATCTTCAGCCGCCGATGGCATCAGTGAATAATACAGTCGAAAGTCTTGACCCCTTTGGTGTTTGGGATGGCGGTGTTGATATGTTCTCCTTACCTGGCTATGGTACTACTACCAGCTTTGATTTCCCTGAATGTGTGTTCCCACAACACACTGTAGACAATCGCTTATCTATTTTCTAATATGGTGTATAACCTTATTATGGAAGGCTGCTGCTGAGCATCTGTCATTTCCCATGAGTTACTCTCCTCCTCTTCTGCGGACTATTACCACTATTGCCCGATAATGGTTATGATGATGTAAGCGGTTGCAGAGACAGTGGTTAAAGACCCTGTTTGTCGTTGAGTCTACTACCAAGGTGGCTACTATCCCTTCTGACCTCCAGCGTATGGAAACTGTATAACTTTGCTGCTTGCCAGTGTTATGTCTCTATCTGCTGCTAGTCGTCAGCATATCGGGTTTGCATGCTGCTGCTCTCGTTGTTAGCATTCATCGCAGTGCTAGCCACGATGTTCCCACTTTTATTGTAAAATTAAAAGCATAAATTGTTCTCAGCAGCCTTTTGCTGGTCGTAGTCCGGTGCTCCTCTATTGCTGATAGCATTTGTTATTCCTTAGGGAAGAGTTCACTGCTTTTGGTGTAGTTGATCACCTCGATTCGTCGGAATGTGTTTTATCATCATAATAATATTTTGGGATTCCTTAGCGAAGGAGTCCTCGAAATTTCTATTACTTCTCACTATTGATAATGAGATGATCAAAATCATTGACAACCTCAGTAGTCTTCAATGTTCTCGTACTATTTCAAGTGCTTGCTGCGAAGGCAAGAGTTGTCATTGTTGTTCTATTTATCTAGTTACTGTACCTTATGATGATGGCGACGCCTCTCCAATGCATGGAGGCGGTCGTATTCTCATCTGTTTATATTATCTGAAGCCTTGTTCCCCGAGTAATTTTCTGCGATTGCTTTCGTGAAATGGGTTCGATTTTTTCATTGTGTAGAGTATGTTGGTGATGAGGAATTGTTGTTGAGTTGTCACCTACAGAGGGTGTATATTTACTGTAGCTTTCTGACTTGTCTCATTCACTGCAACAAGGTTCGCCTTAGGCAGCCTACGAGACCGAGATGGACTGGTTCATGTTGCCATTCTCAACACTTGGGGTTGTTCAGGTCATGGAGAGCCTTCTGCCTCTCACGGGTTGCGGAGCTTGCATGATGCTTTGCACGCATTCACTTTCGTAGGAATATGGAATATGTCACTATAACAGTGTAGTGATCTCGCATCAGATACATTTTCTGTCCCCAGTATTCTATGTGGAGAATGATGCGCAATATGGCGGAGACCTGCGTCTGTGCTGGTCTCGGGGCATCGGGCATCGTTGCTGAGGTTTGGTGAGCTCCTCAGCGGATGGATCGGTGATGTGATCGACGCGATGTCAGCCCTCGTGATTCACCAGCACACAAGAGACTTCGAACCGTAGCACCTTTCATGACGTCCTTGCTCGGCCGTGCTCTGGTCTATATAGTGAGTTGGAGTGAATTCGGTTACTGGGTGACGAATTTTCAACAGATTTTCGGTATGATATGCAGCGGTAATTTCACCTATGTGTCAACGACTACTCCCAAAATGGAACCGGCGAGCCGTCTGCTTGGAGAAATCAGCAATGACGCCTCCATAAGAGTCAATTCAGCGTACTGCTATTCACACGTCGAAGGAAGCGATGCTGATCGTGCTCAGTTTCTGGGCATTCTTTTGCGTCATTTCTGGGATATACATGATGGCCACAGGTGTCATCACTTTAATATATTATTATAAGGTGGCCCGCGTCAGTCATCATCATCATCATCTGTGATTCAACTTCACACAGGTTAATGGATCTGTTGTTCAGAGTGAGCGTCATCAGGAGCTCGCAACGACCTTCTTGCGGAGGACGAGTTGGGGTGTAGGAATGTGTCATGGATGCTCATGTACTCTAGTCTCATTCAGTTTGGTGCTGACCGCGAGGCCAGTGGTGGCCAGTCGGTCGCATTCTCCCCGTTCACACCAACAACAGGCGTCACGGCTGAAGGCTATCAACAGCAATAGTGGCTTCCGATGCTGCTTATGCAAATTCTGGTGAATCCATTGTCGCAGTTGTTCACTCGTTATGCTGGTTTATGAAGTTTGTTGAGTTATCATAAAACTCAATACCAACAATTAGGGAGAAATCGCAACGCAATCGATAGTAATACGTACACTACACGACGAGCTCATTTGCTGTGTTGATTTGGTGAGGACGATCTCCCTTTGAGATGATTCCTCAACTCTATTGATCATGAGTCGAATATTCACCGCATGAGACCACGTCAGACCGAGCGCTGGTTTGAAAGCATCGCTCTGGTTCGAATCGAAATCAGCGGTAACATGATTACTGACTACCACAGCGGCACGTTGAACCCAAGCGGCTCCTTTGAGAGCAACTGCCAATCTGTTGAGTAAACTCTGCCGTTCGGCGAGGACGGCAGCATCGGACCCCTCAGATTTGTCGCCCTCCATACGGGACAGGATGATGTCTTCAGTGCATCGAGCGGATGCGGCGACACTATCGATGACAACTAGACAAGGAACCCCTTCGCAAGTTGGAATTGTCTTCAACGCCTCAACGCCTCGTATCAAGTCCAATAGATCGTCGCACTCTTTGATCGCCATTCTTGACAGCATGCCCTCAATGGGAGCGTGAGGTGACCTGTGTTCACATAGAGATTGGAATCGCTCGGGATGGAGTGTTCTCTCGCTGTCGAACCAGAAGACTCGACCTTCGCCAGCTAAGACTGCCACGGCAATAGACATCAAAACTTGTGTTTTACCGGAGCCTGAAGATACCCCTATTGCTCACAGCGAAGAATTGAACTCACCTGCAGGGCCATAGAGCTCCACAAGCTGAGCGACCGGCAATCCTCCTCGTAAGAACGCATCTAATGAGGGCATTCCCGTGGAGACATATTGGCGTTGGAGATGGCCATAGTCACGAGCCGACATCCGTGCGGGAGCCAGAGACTGTAATACAGCTTATTAGTTCATACGCATCTTCGGAGTTTCCAATACCTTGCTGATTGAGAGGAGCCACTTTTTGGAAGTCGAGCGGGACACGCTACACTCGTCACTGAGACCGTGGGGCTCACGGCTGATAATCGTCGAGGTGGGCAATGCAGGCCATCTCGAGTGCTTCGAGGGGTCGACGTTGGACTGACATGGTGACACGATGCAAGGTATTTACGGCGAGGATTACTTCAGAAGGATGCAATGATTGACGTTTGCTCCTGTCTCTCCGTGAGCCATGCATCCTATTTTTAACAGCTAAGGTTTGGAATACGTTAGAAACAGTAAACTAGTTAATCGGTTACTCGCCCACATCCCTTACTCATGACGACTCAACAACAAGAGTGTAGAATACGACTTCGAAGGATGTGTATAACCACGACGAAGAACGAAAAGTTGTGACTTCCTTCACGCGTAAACTCGCCGATATGTCTAATAATTTCAAATGATGCAGCCTCCTTTAACATAAGCAGCTTGTTGCGAGGCTTCTGCAGTGCACATTACGGACATCGAGGCGGTTTGCTGTTGAATTATGCTTCCTAGGCAACTCCGTAAGCGTCAGCTAAATGCCTCACACCCGGCACATTAGCTCTGTACTGGCCCGTAACTTCAAGGAAGGTCCAGTCGTCCAAGACATTCGAAGAATCGTCAACATGTGTCATCGTCGTTGCGATGGAGGCGTCACTGGACATGTACGCGAGAACACCGTACTCACTGGTCACGACAACCGGCCGAGGCAGAGCAGCGACGGGGCTCGACCTTCTCCCCAGCTGCAAGTCATTGCCTTCACAAGTCGGAAACCTATATGGACTGTACATACTATCGTAAGTAGGTTCGACACGATTAGCACGATGAAACTGCGAGGCTGCTCAGTGGAGCTCCATAGGAGGAGTGGAGCCAATGGTCGTCATTCGAGTGGGCTCCCGAAGGAACTGATATGCCCCGCACTCCGCCTCTCAGAGGCGGCCTCTGGCCGATCTAACGCAGCTCTCAAAAATTGTCAGACGAAATTATCGAGAATTACCACGAGTAGCAATGCTGAACAGTTGAGGGAGAAATAAATATCTTTACTTCAGGAGATCAGCGAACATCTCATCATCATCAGAGTTCTAAAGACAACACACCACTGCTATCGCCGTACAAAGGTTCGTCCTTGCTCAGTAGAGGTGCGTTACCTCAGCGGCCTGCGTCTGCTGCTGTTGTGGCGACTTTCTGCCCTCAGAGGTCCTCTCACGTGGTGGTGGAGGAGGCGGCGGTGGCACAACCTTCTTCTCCTCAACTGGTGGTAATGGAGGCTTCTCTGCTCCATCATCAGCATGCTTCTCAGTAGTCGAAGGAGGTACAACCCCAGGTTCACCCACGCTAGGCGCAGGTTCAGTTCCCGGTTCCTCCATCTTTGCCGGAGATCCAACATCCTTCATATGTTCCTCCGACAGTGGAGGTTGAACTGAAGATACCCTCACTCAACCTAGCCCCCCAAATCATAACATTACCTTGCGGGCTGCTGCCGCCCTCACTCGACTTGGGCGTAGCTATACTCATCACAGGAGCAGCCGCAGTGATATCCTCCGACATCCCTCGGTGTATTCTCTCCATCGCCTCCAGCTTGTGCGGCTCCGCAGCATCCTTACAAGCGGAGTAGAGATCAGACACGCGCTGCCACCACCACAACACTACTATTCGATTCAAGCTGCGAGTAGTCCTACCTCCAATGCAGCCACCGCGTCAGGCTTGCCTCCTATATACTCCCCGTATTGACGTCCAAACCTAACAGGCAGCCCATCCTCGAGGCCTCCAGCGCCCCCCCCACCTGTCCACCGTCATCCATGCCTTATCCGCGTGCCTCAGCAGTTGCAGTACGTGCTCCCCAGGAGAGTCCGGCGACTCCATCTCGGCCTTCAGCACGGCCAGATAAGCGGCTTCCTTGAGCAAGAACCTACAACAAGGCATTGATACCATTCCAAGACCCGCTACTCGAACGTTGGAATATATGTTTGCATTCCTCAGCTAAGCTCAGTATTTTCTTCACCAATTATACAACTTAACGTACGAATTCGAATAGAAATGTACAGAAACCACTAGGGATTTCGTAAAATTTCCATATTGTCACCAACACATGTAGTTGACCACGTGTATACATTCCCACACTGCCCTACTCAGTGGCGCCAGTCTCCGCCTTCTCCCTGGTCTTCACCATCTTAGCGTCCATCTCCGCAACCTGGTTCGCCGACACCGATGTGAGCTCATCATTCCCCACCAACACCACCGATTTGAATGTGGCCTAATAAACTTCCATCGCTCCGCCTCAACGACGGGACCAGTTTCCCTACAATGTAACCCTTCAGATCAGCCTCTTGACGCTGATGAAGCTGCTGCTCAGCTATCCTCGCTTCGAAGTGCTCCGACGTATCCTTATCACTCCGCATCAGTTGTCCCTCTGCCTGCTCAATCGAACTCTTGCGTGCCGCCAACGTGTCCAACTCCTCATCTGTGAATGTCCTTAGCAACACCAACAGAGGCGCTCTCACTGATTTCCATTAGACGCTTCTCCAGCTTCTCCTTCTCCTCCTCCAACGTCTTCATCTGCCCTTCTATCTCCTCCCCATTCGGCTTCAACGCCTCCAATTGTTCGTGAACCTACACCGATGGACGAGGTCCCAGGTTCAATCCCCGGATGGGGCATTTCCACACTCGTTACCTCCGTATGCATGTTCTTAACCTGCTCCTCCAGCTCAGCTATCTCAGTCGCCTGCGTATCAACATCCTTATCGATCTCCACCATCTTAGCCTCGCACTCCTCCACAACTTCCTATAAACAACTTCGATCGATACCACACCTTTCGCAACTCCCAGCGGTACACATGTACCTTCATAGCAGCCTCTCGCTGAGCCAACGACTTGATCCTCCTCTCCTTAGCCAAACTGACTGTACGATGCAGCTGACAGGTCAAAGTGGCGACTGCAGCAGACGGCACTTGAGGGCTAGTCGACGACACTGGGCTCTAATAAAACAACGGAGTGCCGCTACGCTCGAAGGCGAGCCATACGTCAGCTTCCTTCTGCATGTCAGCCTTTAGTCTCCTCATCGTATTCAGCACCTTGTCGTGGTAGTGATCATCCTAAAAGTAGTAAAAATGATTCGTCTTTGAGACTCCTTCCAAGTGATGCTACTTTCCAGTCCAGCTTCAATGCAGTGACCATCTTCTCGAGCCAGGCAACAAGCTCCTCATTCACCGGCAAATCCTCACCTACCACCGCACTCGGATAACCTGACGAATGCCTTGTTCCTTACTTGTCTGCATCACAGACTCCAAGAGCTGCTGCCAGACCGTCGCTTGCCCCCTCAGACACTGCCCCAGCAGTCTGTACATCTACACATGCATAAGGAACTACAACTTGACGAACCGGATTCTCCAGCCCTCCTCACACTACCATAAATCTGAACATCTTCTCAATGGTGATGTCCTCCTCCTCTTCTGCCTCCTCCTCTACAGTGGCGCTACCAACGCTGGCCAGATCTCTCATCAAGACCCTTAGACTAGCATCGCGAGCACACAGACCGAGCAGCTTCTCGAGACACTTCGATCGGAGGAATACCTACCGTGTTAAAACTATCACCCTATAAATGTCTAGCCAGTCACCTGTCTGAATGTAAGTGCGGTGATCTGATTCGGCGGGATACTCTGCAGTTGAGTTGGTGACACGCCCTCAGGAGTGTCGATAAACCTGTCACCCTCAGTGTCACCACTCCAAGAGGCACAACAGGTCTACCTCTGCTTGGCATCGTTACCGAGAGCTATCTCCTCGTTCCACCGGTTGAGGCTTTCGACAAGCTGACAAGATTCGCAATATATCCTCCTCAAACGCCCTTCTACTACTACTACTACTACTACTACTACTACTACTACTACTACTACTACTACTACTACTACTACTACTACTACCACCACTACTACTACTACTACTACTACTACTACTACTACTACTACCACCACCACTACTACTACTACTACTACTACTACTACTACTACCCCAGGCAGCCTTCTGACCGCGCTGCCATGAGCTCCCAGCTCGTCTATGTATGCCTCTAACATCTCCGACACCTCCTGACAAGTTCTCAGACCTGTTGTGGATCCTACCGGGAGAGAACCTGTGATAAGAGATACCCTATAATCTCGTAATGGTCTCAACTGGAGAGGCCATTAGGGCACTATCACTAGAGTCGCTGCTAACCAACACCGAACGGAACGCACAGCGCAAATACAATAATCCACTTGTACGATTCCTATAATGTGGGTAGACCAAATTATGGAGTAATTTCTCTCGACACGAAAGCCCTCTACGAAACTCAAGCGAGAAATCTCCATAGACGGATAATTTATACCACAAATTATCCATCTAATGACCCGAGGCGTACTACACCTGAACAATTTACACGCTAGAGACTTGACATTGCAGAAATCGCGCCCGAGAAGCATACGGAGCCGAGAGGATCTCCAACTGACGACCACCGCTATCATTACCAGCCGCACTGATGTCCTCCATGAGCTTGCTGGTAGCAGAGGCAATTTGCTGAGTGCCCTGTCTAACTTGACCTGATGACAATTCATACCACACCTTCCACAATTCTCCTCCTCCTCGTGGTAGTAGTACGTCCAACCAATTCTGACTGTTTCCGCACTTTACTCAATGTTGACTGCAGCCAGCTCATATTCTTGTGGAATACAATTATTCAATTGAATGGATATAAAAAATCCTAAAGTAGCTCAAGCGATTAACCCTCAAATTTCCAATGACCCCTTCCGTATGCCCGATTCACTATGTAAAGCGTTTGCCTTTTCTGGCGGCGTTTCAAGCTTCTCTATTGGCTCTTCTACCTCACCCCATCTACTCTCGCAAACCTGATGAATCTTCTCGCTCTGAACATGCACGTGAAAAGTCACAGACGCTTCTCGGCCGAAGCCGGTAGAGGAGATCAGTCACGTCGAATAACAATGCCAGACACCAAGAAGGCCGCTAGCGCCAACCCCGAACTGCTTTCCCCAGCTGGAACTCAATTCTCCTCAACTGCGTAAACTCGTGATAAATTTCATAGGGACGAATCGCCGTAAGGTGGCTGTTGAGAGCATGCATTGCTGCTGTAGCTGAGGGGACCAGAAGACCCTTATGAAATAACATACGAATTAACATAAGCTGGTACGATGACTCGAGAATAGAATATGTAGTTCCCTTAGATGACTTCATTTCTCAAGCGTCACGAACTTTCGATTTCGTTGGGTACGGCAGCCAGCAGAAATTTCTCTGTGAGGGGCCTTCGATCGAGGGAGGGGTGAACTTCCTGTTGGAGGATGATGGATACACAACAAGCATCGTGACAGAGGGCCCTACTGGTCTGTCCATCAGTGGCTTCAGGAGACGAACATAGGAGACCCCCAACACTCCCACTCCGAATATCCCCACTCATCTCTGTCGATCTCCTGCAAGTCGCAGTCAAACTTATCAGCAAGCGAGGTTGCAAATTCTGGAAATAGGCGGAGCGGAGTTCGCACCTTGACCGACGCGGATGCGCACCTTGCGCCCATATATGACCCTGATACCACACTGAGCGCAAATCGTCTCCCACGACAGTCACCTGGAACCTATCCACAAACATAGCCGTGAAGAGTTCATTCTTGAGATGAATGAAAGCGAATCCGCGGTTGTTGCCCCAGCCGGACTTCACCGCAGCTCGCTGAAATCCACAACCGTCCTCGAGTACACCAGCGAGAGCCCTACAGAAAATCGTAGCAGTCTTCAAGGCCGGACTCCGACACGACCTCAGACATCCGCATGTGATAGTCATACCTAGACCGATTCATTAGAGCCTCTCCCCTGCCGAGGAATGCCTCTGATGAGCAGTGTGGTGCGGTGCTCGCTGCCGTCCACTAAGTCGACCAAACAGATCTTATGGGCTCTTTCATCGCCCATGCAATCATGCGAGGTCCACCGACCCGCCTCGCCCTCTAGCCTCGTCGAACCAACTCGCTCGCCGACTGAGGGCCGCAGCCGACGTTGGCGCTGGAAGACATGAGATATGACCCAACTCTCAGCAGTAGACGCCCATAAACAGCTCGTAGTATCGTGCCAACGAGCAGGGTGGAGCTACAGCTGTTCAACGCCTCAGCATGACCCTGTAAGCAGATTCGCTGATTCTGTGGCACCCGGAGACCCACCTCTAGCCTACCAGTAGGCATTGCAGCTGGGATAGAGAGAATAGCTTCGCCATACGCAGCGTATGATACGCTCTTGCGATGATTTTATTGGAAACCATTGCGCCCTCAGCCAATCAGCCACCACGATATTATCATCACAAGGTGACCAAGGAGACGTCTAAGTGACTGATGAGGACTGGATGGGCGGAATCATCAATTCACCACAGAGGTCATGTCGCTGACACAGCA